GCCGCCTCACGGCTGATACGTGCTCTGATTGGTTCTGCTGCCCGCCCGTCTGTGCCGCCGCGCGGCGCTCGCCGCGCCCATTGGATGCTTTAGGTATTCTGAGCTCTGATTGGCTGGGCTGGCGCAGGGCACGCCCCCGCGCCTGGGCCAGGAAGTGAAGATGGTGGCGGCGGCGGCGATGGCGGCGGATGAGGCAGGTACTGGTGGGCGCGGATGCTCGGTGTTTGTTCGCTGTCTCCCGGCTCCCCGACCCCGCTCTCCGAGGAGCCGGGCCGGTGCTGAGCGCTGTCCCCACAGAGCGGGCGCGGGGCCGGCGCGCCGCCCTGTCCTTCGCGACCATCGCCGTGGTGCTGGGACTGCCGCTGTGGTGGAAAACCACCGAGACGTACCGGGCTGCCCTGCCCTACGCGGACATCGATGGGCTCAGCCAGCAGCCGGTGAGCGCCGGGCCGACCGGGGGGCGGCGGCTCTGGGGGCTCGGGAGGCCGGGCTGACGCTGGCCTTGTGCAGGTTCAGCTGGTGGTGCCCATGGCCGTGGTGTTCGCCCCGGGATCGGTACCCGGGGACCTGCCGAGGCCGCTGCCCTTCAGGGACGTGCAGGAGATGGAGATTTCCGTGAACCGTGAGAGACTCCCTTGTCTGTCCCTGCCCCGTCTGCTCCTCATGGGTGGCCTTGTCCTTTTGTGGGGGTCCCAACCTGCCCGTGGCTTCACTCCCCGAGCCCCATTCATCAGCATCACCCTGCCCTGAGCTGGCAGTGCAAGGAGCAGGGGTGGGACAATGAGGTCCCAGGGTGCTGCAGGGAAGGGACAGCTCCATTGCGTGGGGATGGGGATGATGGAGCCCTCGGAGGGTGGGATATGTCTGGCTGGTGTGGGGCTGTCTCACTGCCAGTGTAGTGCTACATGCCATAATGGTTCATCCCACTGGCACCCAAAGGACCTCGTGCTGTGTATCCCCCTGGGGTTGTCCCTTGTCCCTGTGAGCACCAGGCTCCTGTGGGGGCCTGGGATCAGCAGGTTCACTCAGTTTTCTGCCCTGCAGTGAGAACCAGCGTCACGTCCCGCTATGAGATGCGCTATCGCAGCACCACGGCTCAGGAAGAGGCAGCACTGGCTGCAGCCACTGCACGAGGTACTGGAGCAGGGAGTTGCTGGGGAGCTCCTTTTCCTGAGGCTGGCACAGCAGAGAACACACTTTGCTTTGTGTCAGAGCGAGACAGGGATTGGAGTGAAATTCCCAACCCTGCCAGTGCTTCCATCTTCTCCAGAGGCTGACGCTGCTCTGTACCCGCTGCAGGACACCACCCTGGGCTCTCTGACCATGTACGTGGTCCCTGAAACCTCCTCTCTCCTGCCTCAGGTAGGGAGCAGCACCCTGTGTGTGTGACCGTGTTCACAGGGGTCTGAGGATGAAGGAAGAGATGAGGATCTGACTCCATGTTTCAGAAGGCTTGATTTATTATTCTATGATATATATTATATTAAAACTATACTAAAAGAATAGAAGAAAGGATTTCCTCAGAAGTTTAGCTAAGAATAAAATAAGAAAGAATGATAACAAAGGCTTGTGGCTCAGGCTCTCTGTTCAAGCCAGCTCACTGTGATTGGCCATTAATTAGAAACAACCAACATGGGCCAATCGCAGATGCACCTGTTGCATTCCACAGCAGCAGATAACCATTGTTTACATTTTGTTCCTGAGGCCTGTCAGCTTCTCAGGAGGAGAAACCTTAAGGAAAGGGTTTTTCATAAAAGATGTCTGTGACACCTTTGCGTGCTTCACCCCTGGGAGGTGGCACGTGTCACAGGTGGCTGTCACAGGTGGCACCGTGCTGCTCTCAGGGCTCTGCTCCCATCCCCAGGGCATCAACGTCTACGTGGGGAAGCACCGCAGCGCCCTGCTGAGGGCTGGGAGTGGTCTGGCCGCCCTGCAGGCCCGGCTGAGGGAGGTGACACAGCTGATGTCCTTCACTGCCACCTCCATCGCCGCCGCCCTCTCGGACCGCGTGCCCGACGGGCAGCTGGGCCCCGACGCACGGCGCAACCTGAAATCCAGCCTGGGTACGGATCCATCCCTGCTCCCTGGGCTGGGACACCCTCTGCTCCTGGGGAAGGTGTTCCCAGGCCTCAGGAAACCCTCTGCTCCTGGGGAAGGTGTTCCCAGGCCTCAGGAAACCCTCTGCTCCTGGGGAAGGTGTTCCCAGGCCTCAGGAAACCCTCTGCTCCTGGGGAAGGTGCTCCCAGGCCTCAGGAAACCCTCTGCTCCTGGGGAAGGTGTTCCCAGGCTTCAGGAAACCTGCTCCTGGGGAAGATGCCATTCCTGCTCTTTTTATGGCATCCCTTTATGGTTTCTGGGCTACCAGACCCCTTTGCCTGTAGCAGTTGTTTTGTTCTGTTGGTGTCACTGCACACTGGGCTGGCCCAGGGAGGAGGGGACAGGCCCTGCTGCTCTTGGGAGCTCTGTCACAGCCTCGATGGCTCACAGGCTGTGGGTCCTTGCAGGGTATGAGATCACCTTCAGCCTGCTGAACCCTGACCCCAAGTCTCACACGGTGGACTGGGACATCGAGGGGGCTGTGAACCGCTTTGTGAAGCCCGTCCTGGACAAACTGAGCTTGGTGGCCAACTTTTCTGTGGATTCACAGGTGAGGGCTGGGGGAGGTGGTGGGGAAAGCCCAGCCCTGACCTCCCTGGGGTGCACTTCTCTGCCAGTGTGTCCCTTGTGTGCCTGCAGATCCTGTACTACGCTGTCCTAGGGGTGACACCACGCTATGACAAGGAGTCCTCCAGCTTCCTGCTGAGTGCTCACAGCCTCCCACACGTCATCAACCCCGTGGAGGCCCGGCTGGGTGAGCACTGTGCTCGTGGCTCACTGGGATCTGTCTCAGGGCTCCCTTTCCCCCCAGCTGTGAAGGAGGAGCTGGGCTGTGGGCTGCTCTTGCTGTCCCTGCCAGCCACAAGAGTTCTGTAACTCTGTCCCACTGCAGGCTCCAGTGCTGCCTCACTCTATCCCGTGCTGAACTTCCTGCTCTATGTGCCAGAGCGCTCCCACTCCCCTCTGTACATCCAGGACAAGGATGGAGCCCCAGTGAGCACCAACGCCTTCCACAGCCCTCGCTGGGGTGGCATCATGGTATGGGAACCACGGGGGTGCTGGGACAAGGTGGTGGCTCCCCTTTCCCAGCTGTTGGCCCTGAGGCCCTGGCTATGTCTCATTAACATGCATTCCCACAGGTTTACAACGTTGAAGCCCCTGCTTCCCCCCAAGCCTCTCTGCCTGTGCCTGTGGATGTGGACATGGCCCGAGTGATGGAGGTTTTCCTGGCCCAGCTCCGGTGAGGATGTGCTCTTCCCTCCCCAGGCCTCTGTGGAAATCAGTGGGGTCAGAACAGGCTGTACTCAGACAGCTTGTTCACTCCTCCCTCTGTGGGCTCTGAGGATGGCTCTCTGTGGCCTTCGAGGTGCTGGCTACTGGCCATCACTGCTCTGTGGCCAGGAATGCTGGCAACATCTCCCATTTGCTCAGATAGGAAGCTTGGCTTATCATGCCACACATCCAGGAGACAATTAAGCAGGGAAGAAGAGCAGGGAGCTCATGGGAATGAAGCCCTTCTGATGTGGGCCGGGGCCATCCCTTCTACTCCCAGGTTACTCTTTGGGCTGTCTCGGGAAGAGGTGCCCCCCGAGTTCCTGCTGGAAAGCCCAGGGAATGAGGGGCTGGCAGACTGGGAGCTGGATCACCTGCTGTGGGCCCACACCGTGGAGAACATCGCCACCGTGTCCACCACGCTGACCTCGCTGGCCCAGCTCCTGGACAAGATCGGGAACATCGTCATCAAGGATGATGTTGCCTCTGAGGTAGGGCTGGGGAGCAGAGCGGGCTGAGTGTCCCTGTTGCCCTCCCTGGCCAGGACTGACCCTTGGTGTTGTTCCCACACAGGTGTACCGGGCAGTGGCCTCGGTGCAGAGCGCTGTGACCGAGCTGTCCCTGGGCCACCTGCTCGCAGCTTTCCAGGCCAGCAAGGAGGCTGTCACCTGCTCAGAGAGGGCTTTCTTTGACCCATCTCTCCTCCACCTCCTCTACTTCCCTGATGATCAGAAATTTGCCATCTACATCCCTCTCTTCCTGCCCATGGCTGTCCCAATTCTCCTGTCCCTGGCCAAGATTGTCCGGGAGACCAGGCTGCGGAAGAAGGAGCCCACCAAGATGGACTGAGCGATGCTGCCCTGCCTTGGGGCTGTCCCCACCCTGTGGGGGCTGTTGTCAAAGACTCATGGCCCAGAAAGGCGCCCCAGGGTCCAGGCCTGGCTGCTTGCCTTGGGTGTGCCAGGGCCTGGATCCAGGAGTGGGAAGAGAAGCTGCTTTGGGAAGTGGGAAAAGGTCTCAATTTGGGTGCTGAGCCCTCCTGCACCCAAAGAGAGGGGAGGGAGGGTGCTGCCTTTGTGCACCCCCGGCTTGGTGCTGTGTTCAGAAGAAGCTGCTGTGTAAATAAAGAACCCCCTGTTCTCTGGGGGGGCTGATGTGGGGCTGTGTGACTCCTTTAACCTGTTGGGGGGTACCTACTGCCCTGCCTTCCCTTAGCTCAGCTTTCCTATCCCCACTCCACTGCTTTATGGGTCTGGCACCTATCTTATGGGTATTTAGCCAAAAATACTTGGTTGGGGAGGGGGGGGGGTAGTTCCTGGGGTCCACCCCGTCCCTCCGGGCCAGATGTGGGGTGTGTCCCCACCTCACCTGGGGGGCTGATCCCCATGGCGGGGGGTTCTCAGGAGGGGACACCCCATTCTCCTGCAGCAGACAGGGTTTGCCCTGAGCCCCTGGGAGCAGCGGGGAGGGAAACCTTTGCTTTCCTTGCTGGCCCGTTCCTCCGCCTTCCCGCGGCGCCGGGCGGTGCTGGCGGCCGGGGGCGGGCCGGGGGCGGTGATGGCGATGCCCCTCCCGGTGCGGCGGCGCGCAGCGGGGCCGGGGCCGCTCACACCGGCGGCGGCGGCGGGGCCATGAAGGTGAAGAAGAGCGGCGGGGCTGGGGGGGCGGCGGCGGCCAGGACCGAGGAGGAGCTGGGCCGAAAGGCGCTCATCGGGCCCGACGATGTGCTGGGGCTGCAGCGGGTCACCAGCGGTGCGTGCCGGGGATGGCGCGGCGGGAGGATGGGGACGGCGTTCCCGGGGGGAGAAAAGGGCAGCCGGTTCTCCTCTCTAAACCGGGGGGAAAAGAGGAGCTGTTTGCCCTTTCAAACCCAGAGGGAAAAGGGAAAGCGGTGCCCCCTTCCCTGGGGACAAGAAGTGGGGATGCAGCAGGGCAGGGGACGGAGCCCGCAGAGGGATGTGCCACCCCGGGGGCTGGGGACCAGCGGGAGAGCAGGGGTTCTGCCTTCTCTTCTTGAGTGCAGCCCCCCAGCTCTGCTCACAGGTCGGTGTTGGGATGCTCCTCGCTGTTCTCCCCATCACCCCATTCCCTGTGTCTGCTCCCACGGCAATGGGACGGGCTGAATCCCTGGCCACAGCATGGGGGGACTCCAGAGCAGCCCCCAACCCATTTTCCCCCTCTCCAGAATAGCACCCGAGGTCTTGAGGGCATTTTGGAGGCGGTGGGTGGGAGTGTGTGCCTGGAGGGGCTGTTGTGCTTGGCAGAAGAGCTCGGGACAGCAGCACACAGGGCTGGGGAAAGGCCAGGGCAGGGGGGAATGGCTTCACACTGATAGAGAGCAGGTTTAGATTAGATATTAGGGAGAAATTCCTTCCTGGGAGAGTGGTGGGGCCCTGGCCCAGAGAAGCTGCTCTATCCCTGGAAGTGTTCAAGATGAGCTTGGATGGGGCTTGGAGCAGCCTGGGCTGGTGGAAGGTGTCCCTGCCCCTGGCAGGGGGTTGGAACCAGATGGTCTTTAAGGTTCCTTCCAACCCAAACCATTCCATGGCACTGCCTCAGGCCAATGATGCCCAGGGACAATCTGCCCCGGTGTCCCAAAAAGTCCTTTTTCCATCTCCCAGGACCTTTGGGTTGTCTCTCTGGGCTGTCAGGGCTGAGGGACTGCCCGGGGGGCTGGCTGTGCTCTCTATTCCTCTCAGCACTCTACCCTCCAAGCCAGCTCAGTGTCGCTGGCCGGGGCTGTGAGGAGCCCTGGAGAGGAAGGATGCGGTGTGGGTGCTGCTGCGTGCAGGCAGCCCCGTGGGGCTCTGTGTGAGCAGGAAGGGAGGAGCAGAGGCCAGCAGGGACTCGTGTCAGCCCTCAGGAAGGGCTCACAGAGGCTCCTCTGAGAGGGGCTGCTGTTGCTGGGGACCTTTGGGTGCCCTTCTGCGAGCTCTGCTGGTGCAGCTGCGTGATTCAGTGCCCAGAAATTCCCTGCCTGTGGCAGGGAGAGCACGCAGCAGGCACTGGAGCATCCTGCCAGCATCCTCAGCTGGATGGTGGATCCCAGTCATGGCTGTGTGAAGCTCTGTGTGCTCATTTCATGGCAGCTCCGTGTCCCTGCCCTCGCCAGGGCTGTCTGGAGGGGACAGGGCCACCCCACATCCTTTCTGTCACCTCGTGTGGCATCAGTGGGGATGGATGTTGGTCTTGGTAAGCTCCTGCCTTCCCAGGGATTGCTAAGCTGGTGAGCCAGGCTTGGAGCAGAGCTGGTTGTTGTCTGCCTCTTCCAGCCCTGGGTCAGAATGCTCTGGAGCACAGGGAGGATGTGAAATGCATGAAAATGTTGTGTTCTCCTCCTGCTGTGAGACTTGCTGGTACCAGGGTCAGAGCCAGGCACTGTGATGATGTCCCAGGCTTACCTTGGGAAGTGCTTCCTGTCCTGCTGGATGTGTGGGAGCCAGGAAATGCTCCCCACACCTGAAACCCTCGGTCACTTTGGGGGTACAGGTAAACAGTACACCCACGTTGAGCATATTGTATTTTATCACTCAGGAACACTTTGCAACTCCCTTCTCAAGCTCAGGTTTTTTGTCCTGGTGGGTTTAACAGAAAGCAAAGAATATTTTTCAGATTTTTAACACCTAATGATTATTTGGGGCATTCTATGGCCTTTGCTCATTTCGACACCTTTAAAAACAGATGGCCAGAAATAGCAATGTGAAACTGTTCCACTCTTCTGCTTCAGGTAGGGGAGGAGGAAGGACCAGGCTGTGGGAGGGGAGTTCACAGCTGCCCCAGCCTTTTGGACGTGCTGGGTGTCAGGGCAGACACCACACCCTGTTGCAGCAATTCTGTCTTTGACAGGTTGGAGGTGAAGGAGGAGTCGGTGGTGGGGCTGCAGCAGAAATGTCCTGGTGCCCTGGCTGCCCTTTGTTGTTCCAGAGAGAGGATAATCCATCCTTATCCAAACTCCTGGGCCAGTAGCACTTCAGCTCACACATTGAGCTGTGTCCTGCCTGGGACCTGGGGAGGGCTGGCTGTGCTTTAGGGTTGCTTCATCATCCAGAGCCCAGCAGGGCTTGGTACCACAGGAAAAGTGTGTTCTGGGAATGCTCACACCAGGAGCAGCCTTCCAGGTCTCCAGGGAGAGGTGGAATTCTGGCTGTAGCACAGAATGGTTTGGGTTGGAGGGGACCTTAAAACCCACCTCGTTCCAAGTGCCTCACCAAGAACCTTCCACTAGATGAGGCTGCTCCAAGCCTCACCCAACCTTTCCTTGAACGCTTCCAGGGATGGGGCAGCCACAGCTTCTCTACCCAACCCCTGGCATTGCCTCAGCAGCCTGACAGGGAAGAATTCCTCCCTAATCGTCCTTCCATCAGGCAGCACAGCTGGACTTTGCTCTCCCAGTGGGTGCAGCTGACCCAGTGTGAGCTGGCAGGGTGGCGAGGCAGGATGTGGCTCTGTGGGCAGCCGCAGGAGCCAGCTGGGCTCTGCTCTTAATGTGCTTCTAATAAGCTTAACTGGGGAGTTGTGTGAACTGCCCTGCACATTCTGTGTCCTCCCAGTGTTAAATTCCCCATCAGCTTTTGTGCCCACAACGTTTCTGGGCACGCTGGGTCCAGCCTGGTGGATCTGGGATGCTGCTCTGGGATATCTGGGCCTCCTGGGCAGGCTGGGTCTGGCTCTGCTCCAGCTGGATCAGGTGTAAGGCTGGAGAACCATTTCCTCTGCAATTAGTGAGATTTGTCACTGGCTCACACAACTGTGGTTGGGAAAAGCGGAAAAAGCTCATGACGTGATTAATTTAAGATTAGCAAAGGAGTGGGGCAGAGCTCAGTTCAAATTGCAATTAATTACTGAGGCAGCCAGAGCATCAGAGGAGTCAGATGTGTAACAAAAGACAAGCTCCAGCCTCTGAGGCTGCCCTGCTTATCACCTAAACACTTTGCCTGGAATACCAGATCAAATCTTACATTTTAAGTTTTATTCTAACACTGATTTTATTTTAGGAAACCAAGGGGTTAAATAATTGATTACATGCTTGGAAAGAGTTTCAAAACAAACCCTAAAAATAAGGAGCACACACGTAATCATTTCTGAAAGTAATCTCTTCCTTGAGCTGTCACTTGGGATTTCTCTGAGACTTCTCTAGGCAGCTTTAGCTAAAGGCCAGCTTGGCACAGGGCTGCCTCAGTGGGTTAGGCAGGCCAGACCCTTCTTGAGGGACTTCCATACCAGTCCCCTGCAGTCAATTAAAGAAAAACCCAAATAAACCATTTCCCTGTCCCCTGCCTCAGCAGTTCAAGTTCTGTAATGCTAAACCATACAGGATCCATGTTGAAATCAGTTTCCAAATCCATGGGGTTTTGATAGGCAAGGAGAGAGGGAGGCACTAACAGGAATGTGAGGCAGATGTGCACGGATCCATCTTCAAAGCTGCTCCTGGACCATGACTTCCCTCCCCAATTAATGGGGAGAATTTATTTTGTGAGGAGCTGTGTGTGTCTGTGAGGTTAATAAATCCCTGCCCTGCCCTGTCCAGGGCTGTGATGTGTGGCTGTGTTTTGATGTGCTGGTTTCTTGTTGCAGAGCTGTGCCAAGCTGCTCTCCCCACGACCCTTCCCTCAGCATCCCACACAGGCTCTGAGCTTTTCCAGGGCTCTGTGTTTCCCCAAGTCTCACAGCACAACAGGAGCTGTTAGGATTCCCAGGGGCAGCACACACAGTGTGTGTGGTGTGGGGATTCCTCCTTCTCCCAGGGTTGTGGGTTTGGGCCATCCCTGGTGGAAGTGGGAAAGGTAAGAAGAACTCAGCCTGAGGGTCTGGGCAGAGCTTGGCTTTGGCTCAGCCCAAAAATAGCTGATTTAGTTGATGTTGTGCACGTGGTTTCAGACTTTGAATGCAATCAGCGTGAGAAGGGGGCAGGAAAAAGTGTTTGGGTGCCTTGGAAATGGGGGAAGAGCAGTTCCATCCGCAGGCTGCAGGGCTGTGATCAAATTAATTGTGAGAGGGTGAAGTCTGGAAAGCTCTAGCTAAAATTAAAAAAAAAAAAAAAAAAAAAAGAAAAAAGAAAAAAGAAAAAAAGAGATGAGCAGGCTGCCACAAAAAATCAGAGCCTGGTGAGCTGTGGGGTGGGACTTGGCAACCGAGGGGCTCTGGGGACCTTGGGGAGTGCCTCCTGCCCTAAATCCCTCTGCTTCCTTGACAGTAAATGTGCTGCTGTGGAAAAACCCCCGTGGGATCCTTGTGGTGCAGGATTGTCCCTCTGGGGCCCTGCAGCAGCCTAATTCCAGTGCTGGGTCAGAGGGCAGCTGCTCCCTCCCTGTGCAATGCCCTGCTCTCTGGTTCCCCAAACCCCATGGTTTGGGCTGGAGGGATTTATTTTACAGGAGCAGATCCTGTTTCCTGGCTGGCTTGGTGTCACAGGGCTGAGGCAGAGGGCAGGGAAATGGTTTATTTTTTCCTTTAACTGAACCCAAGCTGTCTGGGCAGGTGTATCAATAGCACCTGGAGCTTGCCCTGCCTTGCCCTCAGGTCCTGCTCTATGTCCTGCGTCACTGCTCGGCCTCTTCGCGGGGTCTGGGCTATTTTTGCTTCCTCCTGAGACTCTTCAATCTGATAATCTCCTAATCTCCAGCTCCTGGCAATTCCTCTGCAGTTGTCTTGGCTTTATACCTGGCTTATGTCTTGGGAGTTGCCTTCAAAATAGCTCCTGACCTTGTTGGTTAATGCATGTTAGGAAATAGGCCTGCGTAACTCTAGGAGCCTTCTCATCCATCCCCTGAATTGTTGTTGTTGTCTGTGTTGGGGAGAGAAATTCCTGTTACAAGTCACTGCTGTTGCCTCAGTCTCTTGTACAGCATCCTCCTGATTTACACCCATTTCCAGAACCAAATTTTCAGTTTTTTCTTACCCTGGGTGCACTCTGCTTTCCTTAGCGGGCTCTTAAGGCCTTAAAATAGGAGCTGCCCCATCTGAGATTAGACTCTGATGAGCACAGAAATATCCCTGGTGTCTGTGAGAGGGGACACGTGCTTCCTGCTGATTGCAGAGATGGAGAAGGGATCTTGAAAAGGAGCACAACAAAGAGTCTGAATCCTATAGCCCATGAGCTTGTGGTAAAATGGGCCTGGTGGGGTGGTTGCAAAGGAAATTTGGAAATACAGCATTGAATTTTAGCTTTCTGTCATGAGGAGCAAACCTGATCTCGTGTATTTAAATGACAGGGAGAGGTCCAGAGGACAGAGTGCCTTTGTTTGCTTTCCTGTGTTATTTAGCTCTGCATTATCCCTCACCTTTTGTGCTCCTCTGTAACACCAGCTGCTAAAACACACACCCGGAGTTCTGCACCAGGGTTCAGGATGTGCCAGTGCTCACAGGCAGTGCCTGCTGGCATTGCTCTGCTGGTTTGTTTTGTGATTTTGGTTGGGTTTGGGAGCACAGGAAGGTTTCCTGGGTAAAAACTGTCTCTTCCCTGGATTAGGCAGTGGAAGTACCACCTCAGAACTGTACCAGGGGAAGGAGCACCTGCTGATTCTGAGAGCAAAGCTTGAGGCCACTGAACTGTTTGGGGTCACTTTGGAATCACTTTTTGCTACAAAGGGAATTGGAGAATTTGTGAAGGAATTAATTGAGCTGGATTCAGGAAGCCAATCACATCTGCTGCTTTCTCAGACCACCACAGTGGTGATGGTTGTGATCCAAACTCTTCACAACTTGTGATAGGTCTTAAGATAGAAATTGTCTCTAAAAGTGGGCAGTTGCAGATCTTTGGGCATCATGATCCAGAGGTTCTGGGAAAGAAGCAGGAGAGGCACCACCAGGAATGGTGATGTGGATGAGAAGTGGCTGCTAATACCAGCTGAATTGTTTTGGGGAAGAGTTTGGGGTTGTAGTCTGGGATATGACAATTCCCTGGGCTTTAGGAAAGGGTAGGAAGCACTCCTCTTTTGTGACCTTTTTTTACACTACTAAATGTGGGTTCTTAAGGATAAAAACCAATCTGATGGGTTTTCCATGGCAGTGCTGCTGTGTCCATGCCTTCATCCCTAAATCAGGTGAGTACTGAAGGCTCAGGGACACACCGTGATGGTTCGGTTATTAACAGAGAAACAGCACAACCCGCTTCAGGGGAAGTGGAAGAAACAAGAAAATACTGTATCCTGAGAGATCAACCCACCATTGTTAGTTTCTCTGTAACAATCCTCTCCGTGGAGGTTTGATCTCTGAAATAACCAGGGCTGCTGCCTCCCTTCCCCAAATCCTGGCGACGCTGAATTAGGATAAGGGAGGCAGATGAGACATTTCGGTGAGTCACGGAAGTGTGGGCAACTGGGCCCTACAGTAATTTAAAAATAAGTGTGTATGGGATGAGATTAGCAAATCTGACAGTGCTCAGCTAAGCAGAAGGATCTGCCAATTGCAAGCAGCCCATTCCCAATAAGCCCTTCCAGTGCAGCCTCAGGCTCCTGTTACGTGTGGGGGGAAAAAACCAGCACGTGGCTACTTTGATTGATTTTTGAGCAGGAACGGCAGAAACAAATGTAGTACAGACTGAGAGGAACATATATGCAATACAGAGTGAGAGGAATATATATTCCTCTGGTTTTTCTTTTCTTTTTTTTTTTCTTTTCTTTCTAGGAGACTGGGCACTGCCAAAGGAGGAAAAAAAACCCATTTCATTGCAGTATTCTGGCAGCTGATCTTGCCGGATGACATCCAGTTGTATATTGGCATGCTGATTAAAAAAAAAAACCCATAACCCAACCAAAAAGAAGGGTTTAAAATATTATCAGGGCAAAAAGAGCTGGAAAATAGCAGCATAAGGGTGCAGGCATCAATGAGCAGGAGCCTGGTGGGGATTCTACCCGGGGTTTACTCCTCTTTGGAGGCTCTGCTTGGCTCTGCTCTGCTCCAGATGAGTCATGGACACTGTTACTGCAGCAACGCTGCTGCCAAGGAGGGGGATAAAGCTGTTGCCATGGTGCTGGATGGGCAGGAATTCTGCAGGAGTAGAAACACTTAATAATTAACTTGCAGACAAACGCGGCGCTTCAGATTCGCCAGCGTGCTCCAGGGAAGGTGTCCTGGGCTCCTGGGTGACTCTGCCTGTTGCCAACAGCCTTCCCAGGGAACAGCCAGCGGCCATGGGCCCGGGGAGGGGAAGCTGGGCTGTGGGAAGCTGTGCCTGCTTCCATCAGTTTGTGTTTTGCATGCTGGTGCTCGGGAAGTTGTGGGGCGGGTTGGGAATTGGGGTGGCTGATGTGTCAGAGCCCAAAATCGCAGTGTAATTGCAGGACATCTCCCTGAGGAATGCTAAACATCAGGGCCTAGGGCGAGGGATGGGTTTAAATTCCTGTCCTGTCATCGTGGCTACTGTTAAAGGCGCTAAAGGAGGATTTTTTGTACAGTTCTTGGGATATTTGAACTAACACAGGCTTGTGTTTTCTTGTGGCAGTAAAAACGTTGAGTGCTTGTGTCGGTTTTCCTTGTGCTGTGTTGATAGGGAAGGGAAAATCCCTGCCAAATGCCAGGGATGCTTTGAGCACTGTCCTCTGCCTGAACACCCATTTATAGAATTGTAGAAACTCAGAGTGTTTTGGCTTAAGAAGGACCTTAAAGATCATCCACTTCCATCCCCTCTGCCATGCAGGGACACCTCCCACTTGACCAGGTTGCTCCAAGCCCCATCCAGCCCCGCCTTGAGCACTTCCAGGGATGGGGCATCTACAAATTCTCTGGCATTCTTTTGACTATTCACCATATGGGGTTGTTGGAGAGCAGTAAAACCGGCCAGGGATAGCATTTAACACCTCTGCTCCTTGTACTGAGCTTATTTGGACAGTTCTCCAAGTTATGGAGGTTTGGAAGGAATAAAAGGCTTCTAGGAAAGTGGTGGTGCCGGGTGTTTGTGCCCAGGAGCTCAGAAGTCTCTCACAGTGGTCTTGGATTTCTTAGAGCTGTGCTGAAGTTGGGTTGGCATGGGCAGGTCTGAGCTCTGAGCACTTGTAATTTGTTTTTTTGAATTCAGGGACTGAGCCTCAGGTGGATGGATTTGTTGGAGTTTCAGAAATAGGAAAGCAGACAGAAATAAGTGATTAGCTCAGATTAACAGCAGGAATTAGTAGCTGAGAAAGTGTTTTGAATTAGAATGTTAAAGTGTTATTTTCCCCTTGAAACCTCCAGAACCAGTCTCCTACATCAAGCAAATGTGCAGTTGTTTGAAAGCTGACCTGGCTTGTCTGCACAGAGCATTTCTTTAGATTTGTCAGGGTAAAGTGAGTTATTTGAGCTGCATTCAATCTGTGCTGTGTGTGCTCCTTCCCCAGGGAGGAGGAGGATGATTCCTGTGCCAGGAGCTGGCTCAGGGCACAGCAAGGCTGAAGGCCAAAACTGGGGGGGATTTTAGTGGTGGAATCCTCATCCCTGGAAGTGTTCAAAAGGCCTGTGGATGTGGCTCTTGGGACATGGTTTAGTGGTGAACACAGAAGTGCAGGGTGAAAGGTTGGACTTGATGATCTTAGGGGGCTTTTCCAACCTTAACCTGGAATCCTGTGATTCCATCTTTGACTTCCTCTCAAAGATCCTCACAGCAGGGAAGGGCTCTGCTCCCTGTTTTCCTGACACAGGGAAAGGCTTCACCATAATTTTAGTGCTGAGGAAAACAAGGCCTGGTGTGGTGTGGTGAGGCCACCCTTTGTGTGCAGAGGGCTGGAGCAGGGAGGTGGCTCAGGGGAGGACACTCCTGTTCCAGTTAAGTGCAGCCAGCTTAGCTCCCAAAGCTGCTTAGCCCTCGCATTCTGCCACAGGGCAGTTTTTAAAACAGGCAAAGCCTCTTAACCCTGGAAAGGCTGGGATTTGATGGAGGTGCTGACTAGTCTGGGAGGAAATGGGTGCAGGAGTTGCTGGCACAGAGTTGGAAAAAGGTGATGACCTCTGAGTGTTGGGGGAGAGAATTCTTTCCCCTGTCCTGTCTGAGCAGGGCAGTGTGAGCCACCAGAACTGAGATGTCTTCAGGGACATCAGTTTTGAATTAAAACAGGCAGTGGTGGAGATGCATTTGGGGCTCTCACTGCTGGTGTGGCCTCCAAAGAGCAGCCAGAAATTCCTGGTATTTCAGGGAAGCCTTCATTTAAATTTGCTTCCCCCCTGCAGATTATTTGTGCACTCCTGAGGAAAATGTTTACAAGATAGACTTCACCAGGTTCAAAATCCGGGACATGGAATCTGGCACAGTCTTGTTTGAAATCACCAAGCCAGCAGCTTCAGGTGAGTGCACACACAAAATAAGGTTTCCATGAACAAATGCTTTCTTTTGCCTTTCCCGACTCCTTTAACTCCATACATTTCCCAAAAGTAGCAGAATCTGTCCACTGCAGGAGGGCTGGAGCCCCACCTTACAACAGGAATGTTTTTCAGGTGTCTCTTTGCACTAACAGGGTGAGCAGAGCTGGCTGCTGCTGTGCTCTTCCTGGTGCCATCTGTGATGGGAAGGGACAGATGGATGTTGTAAACAGGAGCAGAGGAGGAGGAGGAGATCACTGGGTGGTTTTTTCTTGGCTGTTATTCAGCTTGTGCCCCCTGCACATAGTTTAGCTGTTAGTTTAACATCTCTCACTGAGGTGTCAGGAAAATGGTATTTCCAAAGGGGCAAAACTGCCAACAGGCAAATGAAACAAACTGAACATTCGCCTTTTATTTTTGGTTTGATTAATTTTTAGGTGTTACTTGTAAGCATCCAAGTGTTGCCTGTTGCCAGTGGTGATAAAAACCCAGGGCAGCTGTTCTGTTCCTGGCCAAGCACTTTTAACCCTTCCCCACCTCCCTGCAGGTGAGAGGAAGTTTTCTGTAGCTTATAGGTAGCAAACCAAGCAGGCTAAGGAGAAATAGCTTGTCCAGAGTCACTCTGCAGTCCTGATGTGAGGAAAAGAAATCTTCTGGATTTCTATTCCTCATCCTCCAGTAGATGAGGAATAGGAATCCAGGAGATAAGAAATAACTCAGACAAAAGGGCCATCTCTCAGCATTCCACCTCTGAGTGACCAGGGGTGGACGCCTCAGGACAGAAGTGTGAGCTCAGCACCAGAGCGATTCCCTGGCTTGGGTGGCTCAAGAACCCCACCACAAGTGTTTCCCCTGAGTTTGTGGCTCTCAGGCAGCTCTGACAGAGCTTTCCTTGTGCTTTTGCAGAGCGGGAGCACAATGACAGGAAGGACGTGGACCCCAACGCCGGACGCTTCGTGCGCTATCAGTTCACGCCCGCCTTCCTCAGACTGCGGCAAGTGGGAGCCACGTGAGTTACCCCCCTGCTCCTTGGCCTGGCACAGAAAACAGCTGAAATCTTGGGGAAAAAAACCCCTCTTTTCCATGTTCATACTGCCAGGAAGGTGATTGAACAGGGGGCTTTTTCATTTATTATGAGGCTCTCCAAATCTCTGTCGCTTTAGGTTTCAGCCCGGTGCTGAAGGGATTGGTGCTAAAAGAGGAAAAATAAAGTGGGAAGGGTCTGGGGAGATCTTAGAGCAACTTCCAGTGCCTGAAGGGACTCCAAGAGAGCTGGAGAGGGACTTTTGGAAAGGATCTGGAGTGACAGGACAAAGAAAAATGGCTCCTAGTGCCAGAGGGCAGGGATGGGTGGGATATTGGGAAGGAATCGTTCCCTGTGGGTGCTGAAGCCCTGGCACAGGGTGCCCAGTGAAGCTGTGGCTGTTCCATCCCTGGAGATGCCCAAGGCCAGGTTGGATGGAGCTTGGAGCACCCTGGGGTAGAGGAAGGTGTCCCTGCCCATGGCAGCTTTAAGGTGTTTATCTAATGCTGTGGTGTGTCCCTGCAGAACGCTTTAAGTAAAAGAGGAAACAATAATTTGATTAGTGCTGTTGCTTTATATTTTTGGCTTTTTTTTTTTTTTCAGAGCTCTCTTCTGCCTTGCAGGAATATTGCAGATCTTACTGAAGCATGAAAGCTCATGTCAGTTTTACCCTTGTTTTTCAGGGTGGAATTCACAGTAGGGGACAAACCCATTAATAATTTCCGTATGATCGAGCGGCACTACTTCCGTGACCAGCTGCTGAAAAGTTTTGATTTTGAATTTGGCTTCTGCATCCCCAGCAGTAAAAATACTTGTGAGCACATCTATGAATTTCCCCAGCTCTCGGAGGATCTCAGTAAGTTCTTTGTTGTAAATTTTCATTTCTGGGTTGTCACACCACGATGTTCATGGTGTTTTGGGGGAGCCCTTTCTTAAATGCTGTCTCTAGAGAGTGGGTGGGGTGGAATAATTCATCCTTTTATATTTGTGTTAACACTGATTTTGTTTTCTAGTAGGATGTATCTCATCACACACCAGGCACTTGCTTGGGTTTATTTATTTATTTTTTTTAATTCATAAAAGAGAAGCTTTGGTATCAGGGAGAAAAAAGATAATTGTGTTATAAAACAAGGAAAAAAATAAGATTAAAAAGACATTCAATAAATGGATAACTTAAATGTTATGATCTGTTTTAATGTTTGATGTGCTATATTGTGAGCTTGAGAGGTTTTAGTATGAACATAACTTTTATTTCCTCTCCTCTCTCCCAAGACACAATAGCACAAGCACTAAATCTCTGTGATTTTCCTCTTTACAACCCCTAATTGTGTGTGTCAGCACTAATATTGCAGTCTGTGGAAAATACAGTGAGACTGTGCTGTCAGGCCAGAACAAATTTACTTTGTGTTTGCTGTTTTATCAGTGGTTTTAAAAACAAAACAAAAAGAACCCCAACCCAAAATATAATGGATTCTTATTCTGAGGTCCCGTTTATATGGTGCCATAATATATTGGGATTATGAACATTTTTAATCCCTGAAATTGTTCAAAGAATGTGTGGATATGGCACAAGGGTTTAGTGAATTCATGTTGGATTTTAAGGCCTCTGAGGGCTTTTCCAACATAAAAACTCCATAATTATGCTTGAATTATTTAAAAGACACCAACAAGGAGTGGTTTTGGGCAATTCCCATTTGGGTTTTGGTTTTTCTTCTGATTTTGCAGCTGCTTGGGGATGCTTGAGCCCAGCATTGGGGAGTGTCCCTAATTCAGGGTCTCCTCCAGCCAGGTCTCATAAACTCTTGGAGATCTATTTCACACCCAAGATAGCTCAGCTACCCTTAGAAAGCATTAAATCAGCAGGATGGCTTCTGTGGTAACAGTGTTGGAAACAAAAAAGTTTTAATAAAAGGCAAAATAACAAAATCCTTTATAGAGAAAAACCGAGCCAGGTGCAGGAGGTCCTTTACCCCTGGTAAAACACCTCACAAAAGCCATTGGTTTCTTTGTTCTCTTCTTTTCCAGTAAATTGCTCGGGTGGGACTTTTAGGCTCCTGTCCAAGTTTGAGGTGAAATCTTCCAGGTCCTATGAGGTGTCTTTGCACCTGATTGAGGAGAGAAACTTCTGGGCTCTTTTCCTTTTTGAGGAGACAAAGGACAGTTTTGTCACTCCATGAACAGGGAGCACATTCCTATATATCCCTGTTAATTGTGTTTTTTGGGTTAAATTGGGTTAATCTGGTTTAATTTTGGGTTTAATTGGGTTAATTGGGTTTCTTCCCCCCCCTCACAGTTCGAGAGATGATCCTGCACCCCTACGAGACACAGTCGGACAGTTTCTACTTTGTAGACAACAAGCTGGTGATGCACAACAAGGCAGATTATTCATACAGTGGAGGACCTTGAGCCTGGGCTGGATGGCTTCCTCTTCTTCCTCCCCTTCCCTCTGGAAGTCGTCAGGGATCCCAACACCTCCAGCTCCTGCAGTGTCACCTGGACAAGGATCCACCCACCAAGGACTCTTTGCCACAGTAGGAGTTTCATGACATCTCTCTTGAGCTCTGAAGCAGACCCGGTTCTTCAGAAGTTTTTGAGCTAAAAATGATCTTTGGATACCACTTCCCTAAGTTCTTTTAAGTGTCTGCTTTGAAAATGGCCTTGTGGGACCTGAGGGGTTTTGCCCTGATTCTGTGAATTTATGTTCTTGCCCTTGAGTATCTTTTAGGATTGCTTTCCCAAAGAATGTAATCAGAGAAAACCATGGGAGTGGATGGATGCAAAGGCAGAGGTTTGGGTGGTTGTTTCTCTTTGTGGATGCTTCAAAGGCCAATTTAACTTGTCCAGCCTGTTGAAAATATCGAGCAAAACATCTCACAAAGGCAAGTTTCATCTTTAGACTGGCTCTCTCCATGAGTGTTTCATCCTTTAGTTTCAGTCCTTCTGGGTAATGTTCTGTTTAACCTTGGCAACACCTAAACCTGCAATGAAGAGCAATAGTTCAGTGACAGAGCTGTGTTAATTGGGTGTTTTTACATTTACATTCCTTTTACATTTCAGATGAAGGTAAAATGGCATTGTGGGTCTATGAACCTCCCTAAGTACATTCCATTGATTTCAGTTTTTTTTTCAGAAAAATCAGTAAAAACAGAAGGATTTTAGCTTTATTTAACATTTTTGCTTTATTTAACATTCAGCCTTTTCATGCCACACATTTCCCATTTCTATTTTTTGCATCTCTGCTCGATACCAAGATAAGGACTTCAGTACTGTTTGTTAGAGCAACATTTTAATTGTCTAGGGCAGCTGGGTGGTGTGAAATTTCCAATTTTCTATGTGTATCTGTATTTAGAGGAGGTTAAGACAGCATTTCCCCTTTTGTTAAAAACATTTCTCATCAGATAATAATACAGGTGAAGCTAAATCTAATAATCTACAACTTTAACACACAGCAAAACATTTAGCAAGAGTTCTCTCTTCTCTTCTGGAAGAAGTTTAACACCAATTTAGCCCAAGAAACAGCAACACCAAGAATAAACAGGGGTGACCTGTTGTCATGAAACCCTTACTCTGAAAGTCAGTTCACTGATACTTAAAAAATTAAAAAAAAGAAAAAAAAACCAACAAAAAATAAAAGACAGTTGCAGTCTGTAGATATTTCTATAAATACTTGATGTCTCCATGTCTAATTCTGTGAGTTGAAGTGGAACATTCTATGTTAGCCTCAGATAGGTGTAATAATTGTAATAATTTTTATAAAAATACCATTTCCAGTCGTGATGAGCATCTCTGTAGTCGCAGCCTGTGTCAGACAGGACAAACAATTCCAAGTGTAGCCTCAGGCCAGGGAGGTTTTTGTGCTCTCGTTGGGGTTGTGGTCACTTTTCAGTGTGTCACCATTTGTGTTTGGCTTGGCTTTTTTGGCTGCTGAGAGAGGAGGCAGTTTAAAAAAAAAAATAAAACCCAGTGATTTTAGGTTACAGCACAGTTTTTATTAAGCTTGGTAGCTACAAAAGTGTGTCAAGTTCACTGATTTTACACAAGGAGTATCTTGTAGTGATTCTTATCACAGTGAGACTTGTATTTATCACTATTTTTTGTCTCTAGTGTATTAAATCATACAAATAGCCTACAGCTGACTGATCAGTTTGAGAGATACAAAGGATTTCCTCATTATTTGTGCAGTACTTTGAGCAACTGACCATTAATTTTATAGCAGAGTGATTACTAAAGATGGAAATAGGTTCAAAAATGTTTTCATTCCTCCCCCAATTTATTTTTTTTATCAGGGCTGTTAAATCATATATCCAATGACATTTTGCAAGTTTTAAGTATTTCTGAGCTTTGTTTCAATTTGCAGGAGAAAAAAAAGCTAATTTAAAGACAAAATAGAATGAATATTTATAATTACCACCCTGTACAGGGTTTTTTGGGGGGGTTATTTTTCACCTGCTGTTCATAACAGCCACTTCAGTGACTATAAGATTTTAAAAAAACTTTTAGGAATTGAATTTGCCCAGAATTGCCAGTCATCTATTTAATATGTTGTGATGAGATCAGTTGTACTTTGGTGTAAACTCTTGGGTCATTTGATGGAGTTTCCTCTGAAATAGTTATGTTCTGCTCCTTTTTAATGCTATCTCCTTTTAAGACTTATTTAAAAAATAGTAATTCCATAAAATATTACTGTAATCAAGGGAAATTTGAGTGGGAGACATGCCCCTTATAAAAGAACCAAGAGAAAGTCACTGTGCTCCAAGGAGTGCAGAGTGTGGATGGAATTTCTGACATTTTTCTAGTGTTTTTGAGGTTAAGCACAGGAGGATGAATTATCAGCTGCTCCTCTCTGAGATCTTTTATAATTCAGATTATATATGTAATAATCCCAGTCTCACAGAAAATTTACTGTGAATCATATGGGAGCTATTACACTGAGTGAGTTTGTCACCTAAGTATTATTAGGAATATTTTAAGCCAGAAATAAAGATTGGACATTTTCAATAAAATAAATTTCAGCCAATTTTAGCTTTTCAGTTGAGATAATTTTACTCTTATTAAAAATCCCCAGAGTTTGCCACAAGCAACAAATTCTGATTCCTAAACCAAGACAAACAACAGAACTTTCTGTGGGAAGTGCAATGAAGGTGCTTTTCTCTGTCCCACTGAAGCAGTTATCACTGTTATCTCTCTGTTTCACTTGGGAATTATTTGTTAGCATTTCCTCAAGGCCTTCCACATCCACAATCTTTGCAAACACGTGGGAATCACTGTCCAGGAGAGAGATTTTGTTCCTTTCCCACCTGCCCATGCAGCGGCATCACGTGTGGTGTTGATATGAGGCACATAAACAGCACTAAAAGTTTTTTCTTCAAAAGATTTGGCTGTAGAGTTGCTGTTTTCATGCCACTTCTCTCCTTGTTTTGCTTAAAAACCACCTTCAGAATTTAGTGTTAAAGACCAAGCTTTGTGCAGCACCCAATAATTTCAACTTCCTTCTGAGAGGGAGCTGAGTGTGCAGCTCAGTTGTTTGCAGATCATTTTTTTCCCTTTAATTGGCAGCTGGTTCTTATTGTAAACCAGTTGAGAATGAAGTCTTAGCAGCATTGTTCACAGAAGAATTTGTTAATCTTCTTGACTAGCTATTATTTTGTATTTTAACTTTCATCATTACTGGGTTTACTTTGGAAGTTCATTGCGAAATCCCCAAATATTGGCTCTGGGAAAAAAGGAATTGTTGTATTTTCTTCCTTGATCTCATTTTAAATATGACTTTAATTAGCACTGCAGCTTTGTTTTAACAAGCCAGCCTGGCAGTTTGGGATCTGAATTTCTGAAAGTGAAAGAAAACATCCAAGAGCTAACCAAGATTATCTGCTAATAATGCCCTATGTTTCCTGTCATAAAACAGGATTAAGTGTGTGCTTTACACAGTGACTTAATCTTGGAAAAAGAAACTGAGTCTCTCTGAGTGCTAATAGTGACATAATTTTTCTGAGAGACAGGGAAATTACAGCTCAACACATTCTTTCAGGGAAATTATAATTTGACATATTTTCTTCACTTTGTCAGTCTCGGATTCCTTTCACAGTCAGAGTTTTTAAGGAAAGCAGCAATACATTGGTGGTGAGCTGCATGCTCTAATAACTCACACTTCTGTGGCAGGGAGAGAACTAATTTTTTTTTATAATTAACACATCAGCTGTGGTTGAAAATTTAGAAACTTTGCTCTCAGTTCAGTGGCAAAAGCCAAAATTGTTTCTGTGAATTACCCGTTATGTGGTGACACTTCTGAAATAGCTGAATGATCCACCCTTCCTGACTCAGAAGAGTTTATTTATTTATTTGTTTTAATGTAGAAAGTCTCCCCAGGGTTGAAAACAATCTGCTGGGGTTCAGTTCTTGCTCATAATCTCTCTATGTCTTGTTTTTTTTAGCAGGTCAGTAAGTTGCTCTATTTTCCACCTCTGTCCTCTGAGTTTTATTCCAAAATCTTGTGTAGTGTCACAGTGGTGGCTGGCTTGTGTGTGAAACATGCAGGCAACCTCCAAAATCTCTTCAATTTGAGAAAAAGCTGTTAAGATGTATTGAGAATTATCCTACATATCAACCCCTAAAAAATAAACCCCAATCTTAAAGACAAAAGCTGCAGGGAACTTTTAGTTATGCAAAGATTGGGGCTATTTAAGGTAAGAAAATGCTAATACCCAACTGTCATATTTAGTAAGTATTATAAAAATGCTCTATTAATTATTCGTAGCCTGGAAAAGATGGTTAACAGCTCAGTTTTAATTAGCTCTGGTTAGGAAGGAAACCATAGAAATCGTTGCTGTCGTTTGGGGCTGTGGGGCAGCAGCTGGAACTATGTGTGTGGCACAAAATTTGGGCAGATTTGTCTGCATTTTGGGGGGAAAGTGAGGGAAAGGAGGACAAGGACAGAAAAAAACATTAATTTCAGCTGTTTGGACCCAAAAGCTTCAAGGCCATGGTGAGTGACTCAGTTTTCTCCTGGGTCTGAGGCAGCTGGGAGCTCCTGCTCGTGGCTCTTCTCTCTACCGCCAGCATAAACACTGCCTAAATTCATAGAGGCTTTTCAATATTAATGTTGAATACCACTGAGAGTTCATATAATCTAATCCATGTGGAAATTGCTGATTTATTTGGGGGCTGTGGTGCTCCAGGTCTCACCTTGCAGCTCAGTTGTTCTCCCCATCACTGGTCAGTGGGTGAAATGGTGTTTGTGTGTCTGCAGCCCCCCAAAAACCCCCTGTGCTCCTGCCTGCTCTGGTGTCTGCTTCTATCTGAATACACCCAGCAAACCTGTTTGAATGTGACTTTTTTTTTGTTTTCTTGGCATAGAAACAGAATTGTCTGTATTAAAATGTATTTATAAAAAAAAATAATCTATTTTTTGGGGAAGGAAAGTAGGATTCTGGTTACTATAGCACTGGGGAAACGTTAGGAGCATTTTTACTGAGTTAATTTCTAATTCTTTGTACTTTGGTAGTGATTTGTTTGCTAGGAGAACATCCACTGTGGCCCATCCTGTGGCAATGCAATGCACTGTCATGCAGAGAATCTGGTTTTCAGAAAACTGGGAGTCCTTTGTTTCCTTTTTGTGACAGGAGGGAACTGAGGAGATCACCAGGAATAGAAGAAACCTTGGCACAGAATCCGTTCTGTGGCTTTGGCTTCAGCCTGTTTGACTTTTTGCAGATTAAGTAGAGAGAGAGAAAAGACTGAGGCTTAAAAAAAAAAAAGAAAATTAGATGCTACAATTTAGTCTTCCTGTAGGAGAAGGAGAGTCCTTAAATTAATTTATACAAGGTTTAAATAGGGACTGCACTTGCTTCAATTGGTTTAATATTGGCAGCTTAGTCATTGATGTGCATCCTAGGGAATATGCTTAACTTTTTCAATTACCTTGGAAAATGGTTCAAAAACATGTCACTTCCATTAGCAAGTGTTTCTTCTCCTGTAACAAATTGCAAAATGTGTAAAAAAAAAAAAAAGAGAAATAAATTATTGATCCTAGAAACAAGGGTGATTGTCTATTTTATTTAAATATTTCTGTGAAAAAAGCATTCAAACTTTCATTTCAGGTCTCTTCCATCAGTATTCAAACTCCAGTTTTTGTGCAGATGTGTGTGAGCAGTTTCATTTTGTGGTGATGGATGGAAAGACTCTGCAGTGGTTTGGGTAGTTCTGTAGGTAAAACCACATTAAAACTGCTCAAGTGGGATTTAACTTTCAGATTGGGAAAATGTCATGGGGTGTAATTAAAATAAATTGGTATCAATTACATTAGTGGCTTTTTGGAGTTGCAGAGATCACAGCTGTGTATCAGGTTGTGATTTTAAAAAATTTGCAAGTTTGAAAAGTGAATTTAAGAATTTGAAAAAATGAAAAATGTGGAAAATAAATTAGTTTCAAAGTACATTAACAGAACCTTGCAGTTCCCTGGATCACTCTTATGTACCAGGTTGTGCTTCTGAAGAATTTCTCGCTGCACTTTGGAGAATCAAGTTTTGAAATTAATGTGAAAATTGCTGTCTCTGCCTCACTGACTAAAACTGAACCAGCAGCTCGGGCTGAAGTGATTTTTAATGTGCTAATTCCATCTTGGTGGCTTTGATATTTTATTCAGAAATTCCTGGGAATACCTCTGTGTTTCTCTGGGAGCAGAACAACTCTAAGAAGAAGAGAAGTAAGATGGTTTTGTTTGAAAATATCTTCTGTAACTCATTTTGATTCCACAGAATTCCTGGGGACTCCTCACCGCCTCACAATATCCTCGGGGACATCGTTGTGTGCTGGAATTTGAGTGAGGAATTTATTAATACAAGGGTTTCCCTTTTGGATTGTGACTTGGAATTCTTGCCTGCTGATTCACAGAATACCTAAAAAAATATAAAAAATACCAAAATCAGTGCTAATAACTAATAAAGCAGGTTAAACAGTCTCTCTGATTAACTGGGCTTGCTTAGAAATCTTCTGAGATTGCAAAGAACCTTAAAAAAACCAAAAACATTTTATTTCCAAGAAAACTCCACAGTGTTAAATGTCTGCCAAAAATACCCTGCATTACTAGTGCTCCCCCCCATTTAGCTGATTTGTCAGTCTCATTTATTAATAAATATGCCTAATCATTGTGGAGATGGTTTCTGCTTCTCCTCAGATTCTTTCCTTTGGCATTTCTCAGCTGCTGAGTTATTGTGGCAAATCTTATGTGTTCACCCCATGTTTCTATTTTATTTGTCATTGTTCAAGGGCATTCATCTATCTCTGACTTGCATTCCCTTAATGTTTTTCACTTGTAGGAAGAACACTTCTCAGTGATAAAGTACTCCAAATTTCCCAATTTTTCCCTCTAACACAATAGATCTTACTTTAGAGATAATTTTAGAGATTACTGAAATCTCTCATTGCATGCTAGGATAACCCAAAACCATTTATTCTCCCTATTTGAGCCCACAAAATAGACCAATTCCTTTACAGAGATGATTTTTTTCCCCTTCATCAGTGCTGTACAAGAACTTAAAATAGGAGGTGAAATCATCCTGGATAA